CCGACTCCTGGAGGAACCTCATTGAGCAGATAGGTGGGTGTCTGCGTTCAGGGCCCGCAGCCGGGCCTCTGGACCCCCGTGCCCCCTATGCTGAGAGGGCAGGCATAGGTGCCCGCGAATGTATCCAGCGCGGGAGGAGGAGATTGGACATGCTGGGTTCCAGATAACCCTGGAGCCCCGCCGCCCCAGATCCACGTTGCTTTCGCGAGGGGGTGCCCTCTCTGCGCTCTCTCTGGAGAGGTCGCTGCTTGGCTCCTCCCTCCCTCCCGCGGAGGGCACCGGGTCCCCCGGCCACCTGCTGAGCAGGTGCACAGGTGGGCAGTTGGCGCCAAAAGGGGTGGGTGGAGGGGAGGAGGGGCGAGCAGGGCTGAGGGGAGATTTGGGGCAGAAGCGATGCGGGGCGTTGTCGGGGGAGGGGCGGTAAAGCAGAGGAAAAAACCCAAGCCCCAGGGCCCCTGCAGGAATGCGCATGGGGTGCGGGAGGGCCGACCTGTCAAGGCAGGGGCGGGCTCTTACTTTGCACCCCTCCCCCAGCCTGCCTCTTCACCTGGACGTGAGGAAGTTGGGGGGCTGATTTGCTTACAAGCCTTGCCTGGTGACCCTTGGACTTGCCCCTGGGAGCAAGCGACTCCCTCTGATAACTTCTGCCTCAGCAGTGTCCGGCACCGGCACCCACAAAGCTACAGCTGGGGTTGCGAACAGGGTGGATGGAGGCTGGGTCCTCAGAGAGGGAAAACAAAAAAACGAAAAACCAGTGGCACACTGGTCCGCGGAGAGCCCCTGGAGACTGGGTCACTTGGGTCTCCCTTTCCTGAAAATGGTGCCAACTGCTAGTTCTTCCCTGCTGTCAGAGAAGCAGTCTCTTCCTCTGCAGATCCCAGGGCCAGGTCTGGAAACGTCTGCCTTAAACAAGCAAAAACAGCGGCGTAACCGGGCTTTGCCCTCCAGCCCCAAACACCAGGACAGACGGGGTGGAGGTGCTGCCCGTGCCCGCTGGTGCCGGGAATCCGGGCTCAGCCCGCTCTTCCCCAGCAGGGAGGGCACAGGGAGCAGAGTGCACTCTGCACTCTTAGGGGGGCTGATTCCCTCCCTCCCGACTGGCCAGTAGGGGTGGGGGACCCCTGGGTCAGGTAGGAGGTGGTGCTCCTGGTTGACGCAGACTCTGAGAGGGGCTGGTCTGACATTGAGGCCCACGATCAGCTTCTTGAAGCCTTTCTTCCCGGCTCTCAGCGGCTC